CACACACACACACACACACACACACACACACCCCACCCCACCCCCCATGGCTAGACTGGAAATGGCAGGTAACAGGCATTGGCGAGGATGTGGAGGAACCAGAACGCTCCCGCCGTGCGACTGTACAATGGCGCAGCAACTTGGAACAGTCTGGCAGTTTCTGAAGCCCTTAACCCACCACAGGACCCAGCGGTCGCACTCCCAGGTATTAGAGGCCCGACCTAGGTCCTCAGCAGCCTGGACAGGCCGGTCCAGAGAGAGCAGCGTTAGTCACAAGAGCCTGGAGGCGGAGACCGCCCGGACGTCTGTCAGCAGACACACAGGCGGAACGCAGTGCGTCCCTATGGCGGGCTGTTTCAGCCAGAAAAGGAACTGGTACACGTTACACGGATGAACCTTGAGAAGGTGACGGAGTGAAAGAAGCCGGTCACACAAGTCCACAGGTTCTGTGGTTCGACTCACACGCAAGTGCAGAGAGCAGTCTCTAGAGTTAACCAGCGTTTGCGTAAGCCGGGGAGCTGCAGAACTACAGGTTCGGGTTTGGGGTTTTTTGAGACGATAACATCCTCAAATTGACTGTAGCCACGTGTACAGAACTCTAAGTATGCACGTGAAATGGGTGAAATTATCTCAGGAAAGATGTGGAGAGAGAAAGCATGGAGTCGAGCCTGTCCCTTCCCAGCTGTGCCATGAGAGGCGGTGGCAGCGGGCAGGTCCGACCCCGCCGAGGTGAACCTGCAGCACCTTGGCCACAGTGAACCCCGAACTGTGGGAAAATCGGAGGCAAGCCCAGGCCTGGCTCCTCTCAGCCTGGAAACCGGGGCAGGGGGGAGGCACCGCAAGGTGAGCCCTGATTTTTCTTTTATTTTCCAGAGCAATCCAAGGATATTATAACGTGAGAAGAGAGAACGACAGTGACAGGAATGTCATGCTTTTTGCGATAGACATGCTGAAATCAGTCCTAAAGGAGGTAGGTGCACGAGGCTCAGCCAGGGGGAGGTCCAGGAGGGTCCTCACCCACTCCTTGCACTAGGACCTCTGGTCCAGCCCCACGTCTGATGGGGGACTGGCAGGAGCTACAGGCCTCACTCCCCATGGGGGTCAGCCCCTGGAGCTCACATTTAACTCAGCACAGGAAACACATTTTATTGGCAGAGTGCCCCACTGTTATTGTCCACATACATCCCACAGCCCAGGTCCAACTTGGCCAGAGGCCATCCCATCATTTCTAGAGTGAGCAGATGATCATCAGTGGGGCCTGGGCTTTGTCCCTGGGAGCACCTGGCACTTTGACCTTCATCTGCTGTAAACACCTGACCCTGGGCCTCTGCAGACCTTAGCATCACCACCAAAGGCAAGCTGTGTGTGACCAGCCTGCAGTGCCTTCCTGTCTCCCAGGGAGGATCAAGTTTGAAAGGCTGCTCATTCTTTCAAGCTGACCTTACAGAATTATCAGAACCAGCAGCACCCTTGACTACTGGCACCTCCCATGCCTAGCTCTACAACCTCACAACTCAGAATGGCCCAGAAATCCAGGGTTTGGACATTTCTCTCCCTGAATCAGGCCCTTCTCGCGGACTCTGAGCCAGGCTCTGACTTAGTCAGTGTGTGACCGGGGAGCTGTGGGTCAGTCTGCCCAGTGGTTCACTGTGGGGCACCCTTTGGAACCACTGGGAGGCAGCAAGCCCTGGGAGGGCCCCAGCACACCAGAAGGGCTACGCCTCATCAAGCATGCCCTCCCCTCTCCAGCGGTTCCAGTACATACAAGTCCCGGACAACCATTATGTCCACCTGAACCAACCCCAGAACGTGGCCGGTATCATCAGCACCTTTCTGCTGAGCAAGGAGACAGCACCACACGAGCCGTAGCCTGGGCCTTCGGAGACCTGGTGCCCACCACCCAGCACCCAGATCCCTAGTGCCAGGCCCCCCCGCCAGACTGGGTGTGGTGGGGACAGGCCTCACTGGTCTGAAGCCCAGCAGGTGCTAAGGCAGAGAACCCTGGGCAGGATTTGGGGCGGGGGGAACGCAGGGCAAGATTCTTTTAACATTTCTGACTTCAAGGGGGAGACCCTGTTTGGATTTGGGGGCACTGTCTGTTTCATGGCTGATAATCTGCAGAGAGCGGGTAGCAGAAGAAGGGAGGAGTAGACAGGTGACTGACCAGTGGATGAAAAATAAAGCGGTTCTTGTATTCTCACTGCTTCTGAGGGGCTCTTCCACTGAGGGGAAGGGAGACACACCCAGCTGGAAAGGGAAGGCCAGGGGCAGGCTGGGAACAGAGAGACCAGGAGAAGGAAACAACCGTGGCCTGGGCTGGTGGCTCCCGGCGGCCCACGCCCTCACGCTGGGCAGGCCTCGCCAGCACGATGCCCAACGTGCGCACCAGAACCACGGGAGGGCCCTGTCTTTCCACCTCCACCCGTGTGGGCTCGGATCTGGCAGCCCCTGGGCCTGGGCAGTCTGGGCGAGTTTTCCAGGTCTTCAGGTCCTCCCTGGCAGTGCACCGCCACCGTTCACTGCCCTTTTCCATGGGGCTCCAGGACCAGCTCAGCTCAGTAGGGTCGGAACTTGCGCTGTGCCCGCATCAGTTCAATCCGCTGCTTGTCTTCCTCAAACTTCTTGCGCAGCTGGGCTAGATCTGGGGGGGCGACGAGAAAGAGGAAATGGCCACGTTCGTCAGTGTACCCTGTGGGGACTGTGGCCCCCCCGCCCCGCTGGCCTCCGCTGATAGGGTCCGGATGCTGTGCGGAGACAGATGAGCCTGCAGGCCCAGAGGGTGGGCGCTCGAGCCAGGGCGGCACGCCTGAACTTTGAGAGAAAACTCAGAAGAGCGAGCACAGAGAAAGCACGACACCTGTTCCCTTACCACCCCCACCCCACATACCCAAGGTGAAGGCAGGCGGCTCTGGGGGTATGGGGAGCCCCCCCAGGGGCACCTCTCCCGGCCCCTCCCCACTGCAGCAGCCAGACGGGAGAACGTCAGGAAGGAGAGGGACTCCGCCCTCGGTGCCACAGAATTTGAACGGCGGCTCTGGTCACCAGGTGACCAGGTCAGAGGAATACAGAGGGGTGGGAGCCCGGCGGGAGAGCTGATGCAGCCTGCTGCGGTGATTCTAGGGAGAAGAGCAGGAGCGAAGGTGCCCGAGTGGGGAGCAGCAGCGAGACAGGCAGGAAGGTGACGTGCATGGGTGGCAGGTCACCACCCACTGCAGAGCCTGTCCCCCTGCCGAGGACAATGCCAGCACTCTCTACCCCCAGGCCCACAGGGAAGCCACTCAACAAACAGGGAATGTGGGCTGTGGCACAAGCTCAGCATCATCACAACTAAGAGTGGGCCACGGGCGATGGGGTGCTCGCCTGAACACTGTCCATGTGAGGACGCCTGCCCCACTCCCCCCACAATTCTCACACACACACGGTGCTCGCCCCAACACTGTCCATGTGAGGGTGCCTGCCCCACTTGGAACTCCCTCTCTCTCTCACACACACACACACACACACACACACACGGTGCTCGCCCAACGCTGTCCATGTGAGGGCGCCTGCCCCACTCCCCCCGACACTCACTCTCCCCACAGTCACTCCCCCCAATACACAAACGCTCACCCAGCAGCGGCCCTCTCGCTGTCCCCACAGTGAGCACCTGAGATCCACCCTCTGCAATCTGGCCCCCGTGGGAGGATGACAGGTTCCAGCACCAACTGCTCAGGGTCTGGAGGCGGTCCTACATCCCAGGTGTGTCTGAAGCCTCTGAACAACCCAGGGGCCCCCACTGCTGCCACTGGGGAGCAACAGGGGGACCACCACAAGGGATGCTGCAGGCTGGGACCTTAAGTCCAGAGCCTGTTGGGAAGTCTGTGCCCGGGGACACCCCCTTCCACACCCAGGTCCCAGTGCCGCCCGTGGGAGCCCTCTGCTCTGGCCGGGGCTGGCAGCAGTAGCCACGGGCCTCGTCCACAGGGCCTGGGCCCCAAGGGAAGTAAGTGGGGCTGAAGCACAGGGGTTTGGGGCGCTCCCTTACGCTCCATCTTGGTCTCTCGGTGCTGCCAGGCGTAAAAGTTGAGCAGCTCCTTGCGGGCGCGCTTCCGTCTCTCCCTCTCCAGCACCCGCAGGCTCGCCGCCTCTGTCCGCGGCAGCACGGGCCGCCGGCCCCGGCGGGTCACCTTCACCCAGCCCTCCTCGTCTGGAACCCCTTCCTCCTCCTTGGCCTTAGCCTCCTCCTGCAAGGAACAGGCGCTGTGACGGGCAGACCCTGGGACCCCCTGCAGCCTCAGGTGCCCCTCCCCTGCCCTCCCTTCGAGGCTCTCCCTGCAGCACCCAGAACCTCCCTGGGCACCCACCGCCACCTGCTGCACCCTCTCCCTCGCAGTAGCTCAGTATGGGGGGCAGGGGGCACAGAGGTGCCAACATTGCCTCCTCATCCCTCAGACTGTTTCCTACAGACCAGAGACTAGACGTCACCCAGCTAGGTGACACAGGACTCAGCGGGGAAAAAGGGAGCCTGAACTCTCACAGTGACCCGCACAGGGTGCCACCGCCCATCCTCCTCTGGAGCGACACCACAACAGCCATGACACCACCTTCCCTGTGGAAGCCCCACCTCAGCTATCCTCTCGTCATACGCCTCCATGAACGTGTCCACTTCGACCCTCAAGGCCTCCGGGTCTGGCACTGAGTCTGTGTAGTTGCTGATCCACTCTGAGGGAGAAAGGAGGGAGGAAAACGGGGCTTCCTCAGGCCTGATACTCGGGGCCCCACCTGCCCAGCCAATCAGGATCATCTTCTTCTTATTATTTTTAAGATTATTTATTTGAGAGAGGGAACACGAGCAGGGGGAGTGGGCGAGGGAGAAGCAGGCTCCCCGCCGAGCAGGGAGCCCGATGTGGGACTCGATCCCAGGACGCTGGGATCATGACCTGAGCCAAAGGCAGACGCTTAACTGACAGCCACCCAGGCGCCCCCAGTCAGGATCTTCTCATACAGGCCACGAGGATGGAGACCTGTGGCCCAAGGAACGTTCTAGTGGCAGCAAGCTGGGCCCTCCTCTCCACCCACCCTGGGCCCAGGAAGGAGGGTGTGACACTGCCGTGGTACTGACTGTGAATGCCGCTCTTCACAGGGTGACTCTCTGTTGAAACCAGCAAAGGGCCCTTCAGGACTAAGGCAGCAGACACCCCACCTGGCTTCTGGAACACCACGTAGGCTACCTGGAAGCCCTGGAGGAGGGAAGGAGAGATGTCAGAATGCCAGCATCCCTCCCATCCTCCCGGCCACCCGGCTCCTGGCACCAGGGCTCCCAGCTGCCCTCAGCCAGACTCGTCGCTGGGCCAGGTGACATGTGCTGGGCTGTTCTGAACCGTGAAGATAACCAAGAAGTTCTCTGTAATCCTGGGGTTACACACAGCCATGCTGCTAGTTTTCCAACTTCTGCCAGAGGCGACCCAGGTGAGGTGAGACACTCGGGACCTCCCTTCCAGGTACAGGAGGGACGCAGTGACAAGCGAGCTCGCCACACACTGGGAGTGGACAGAGCGCACACTAGCTCAGACTACGCTACGCCAGGAGGAGGTGTGGGCTCGGGATGGGGAGACGAGACCAGGCCATGGGGCCTCAGGAAGAAGGGACTTCGGTTGGGGAGCAGGAGGGGAGCTCAGGGAGGCCCTTCAGGGCGGCGAGCAAGATGGTCTCTGAGCTCTCAGCAGGACGATGGAAGAGCTGGACAAGAAGCTAAAGGATGTGGCAAATCCAGGGAAAGGAGCAGAGGTGCTGGGGATACCGCCCTGGCCACACCCCGCACCCCCAGGTGAGCAGACCACAGCACTTGGACACTTACCGGAATGGGCGTGGGGTGAAAAAACTTTGATTTTGGCTCCTTTGGGCTGTCAGCAAGTTCTGGCTTCTCCTGTAACTGCACAGACTGGACGGGGCCGCAGGGGGAGAAGAGGCGGGACAGGCACTCCTGCCGTGGACCCGGCGGGGGAAGCACAGCATGAGGGGCTGCAGGGGCCTCAGGGAGCCTCCCTCCGCCCAGGGTGGCACGGCCAGGGGACCAGGGCCCCCAAAGGTCTCGGAGCCCATGTCCGCCCAACTGGGGGGCACGTACACAGGCCCTGAGCCAGCCACACCCCCCTCCGCACAGTCATCGTCCTGCCCCCCCACAGCCCGAGCCGACAACCCTGTGAATTTTCATGTTGAAAACTGTGAGTAAAAAAAAAACCACACCGCCACTGGCCATGGGACACCGGAGGGAGCAGACGCAGCGTGAGACAGAATTCAGGTATAAACTTTTTGGCTTTATGACAGGACCCTGCAGGGACCATGTGCCCGGGATGTTTGGTTTGTCCCTGAAAGGGATTTCTCACTTTGAAAGGCCAGCCGTCTTTCCCTGACCCTTTCTCTGGGTGAATGATCCCCAAAGGAGGATTAAGTTCTATTTCGAGAACAGGTGGGAACATTTCTGGGGTTATTCGGAGGTATTCTGATTTTATGAGACAACCAACTAAGTTTTCCTCCCTGAGCAGCCATTGAAAACTGGAGTTAACTCTGTGTTGTTGGGACTCGGGCTGGCGGTGAGCCTCTTGAGGGGATTTCTTGGGCGCAGGTCATGTTCTGTTTCTGGGTGCTGAGTACGTGGGTGTGTTGTTTGTGAAATGCAGCAAGTTGTAGCCCAGGGCCCGGGCCCTTCTCTGTACACACGCTACACTTCAGGAAACGTAAGACATGACGCAGCCTCTCCTCTGCTTCTTTCTCTGACTGTACAAGAATCTTTTAGAAATTAGTATTTCTCTCGAGGATTCTCTCTCTCCCTCTGCCTCGCCCCCCTCACTTGCTCTCCCTACAATACGTAAATCTTTAGAAGTTAGTATTTCTTTTTTGAAAAACAATCTAAAATGCAGCAACACCCTTAGTTTCTCTTCTGTGAAGTTATGTAATGCAAAACTTAACCATTTTTGTGAAAATAAATTAATGTCTGGATAGATTTAGAGAATAATCTTATCTTCTATTTTTTCCTATGGAGATGTATCACTGTTATAATCAGCGAAAAACAACATGTAATCCAAAGAATCCTGGGAAATAATAAAAAAGCTTTGAGCTTCTTAGAACTATACTTTTAATTTTTTTATTTTTTAAAGATTTTATTTATTTATTTGACAGAGAGAGGGCCTGTGTGCACAAGCAGGGGGAGCGACAGGCAGAGGGAGAGGGAGAAGCAGGCTCCCTACTGAGCAGGGAGCCCGACGTGGGGCCCAATCCCAGGACCCTGGGATCATGACCTGAGCCGAAGGCAGACGCTTAACCGACTGAGGCACCCAGGGGCCCCAGACTTTACTTTTTAAAACACAGCTTTAAAAAGACACTTCCAGGTGCCTGGTGGCTTAATTGGTTAAGTGTCTGATGCTTGGTTTCGGCTCAGGTCGTGATCTCAGAGTCTGGGATCAAACCCTGCACCCAGCTCTACACTGGGCATGGAGGCTGCTTGAGATTCTCCCTCTCCCTCTGCCCCCCACCTTGCACGTGCTCATGCTCTTTCTCTCTAAAATAAGTCTTTAAAAAGACATTTCTGGGGACCCTGGCTGGTTCAGTCGATAAAGCATGTGAGTGACTCTTGATCTTGGGGTCCTGAGTTGGAGCCCCATGTTGGGTGTAGAGATTACTTAAAAAAAAAAAAAATTTTTTTTTTTAAGCCATTTCCTGGGGCGCTGGGTGGCTCAGTCGTTCAGCGTCTGCCTTCGGCTCAGGTCATGGTCCCAGGGTCCTGGGATGGAGCCCCGCATCGGGTCCCCTGCTCCGCAGGAAGCCTGCTTCTCCCTCTCCCACTCCCCCTGTGTTCCCTCTCTCGCTGTGTCTCTCTCTGTCAAATAAATAAAATCTTTAAAAAAATAAGTAAGTAAATAAATAAATAAATAAAAAGCCATTTCCTTTCACAAGAGACAGAAGCAGCAGCCCTCTAGCTGCCCTCCTTTGGGGCTTCAGTTAGATGCTTCCATCTCCCAGTAAGGACCTAGTGGAGGCTAGTGGGAACCCAACCCTGCCTGGAGCTCCTGGCCAGCCCTAGAGGTTCCCTCCCAGACACCAGCTCACCTCTGTGCAGTATGGGGGCACATTGAGGACAAAGAGGGTCCGCTTCTGAGGCCAGGAAGACTTGGTGCCTTCTCGAACTCTGTGCTCTTTCACATAGAGGTAGTGAAAAGCCTGCTGCTTTTCTGAGAACTTGATCGGAATGGCTGGACGGGAAAGGGGGGCAAGGAAGGATGGCAGGAAAATCAAGCTCAGGCTGTTCCTTTCTAGTTCCATCTGTCTGTCCATTCCATCACTGAGCCCTTCCCCGAGGCAAGGCCTGTGCAGGGTACTGCGCAGGCTGTGAGAGTGAATGAACAGAGAACCTGCCCAGGAGGGGCACCCAAGCAGGTGGGGGAGAGAAAGGGCAATTATTACAGGTGGGGAGCAAAATGAGAGGGGAGTCCAAACCCTGATGCTCCTGGGGTCAACACCAAAATCCTGACGTCAGCTGGAGGCCTTGCCAGACCCTGACCACCTTTCACATCTTTTTGCCAAGTCCTCCCCCCACCACTGTGCGGGGCCTGCCACTCTGCCTTCTCTCTATCCCTCCAGTAAGCCCAGGCCTCACCCAAGCTCACACGTTTCTTTACCTGAAACATCAACCTTCTTCCCTCCACCCATTCTTCAGGTTTAACTTCACTTCCTCAGAGAGCCTTACGTGCCAAGTTAGATCCACCTGCTCTGTGCCTTGACAACGTCTCTCCCGGTCTCTAAGTCTCTATCTGTGTGATCATTTGGATAACGGCTGACATTCCCATAATGCTAGGGGCTGTTTTCTGTTTTTCTCACGGCCTTCTTCAGAGCACACTGGGGATACAGCTGCAGCACCTGTGCTCGGGAAGCTCACAGGAGAGTAGGAGAAGGCAATGAACAAAGAAGCACGTAACATGATCCTATCAAATATGAAAGAGAGGGGAAAACAGTGCAGACTGGCTGCGTGGCAGAGGCCTTTAGGTAGGCATCGGAACGGCCTCTTCGAGGAACTAACATCAAAGTCACAAGGCACAGCTGTGTGAAAAGGGCACCTCAAGTGCAAAAACCCTGAGGGTGTAAAGAGATTGTTGCTCCAGAGGAACAGAAAGAGCTCTAGGTCGGCTGAGCCAGAACACGTAAGGGCCACACAAGCCAGTTAAGTTTGGATTTTGTTTTAGGTGCTAACTTGTAAAACCACTGGAGGGAGTTCAGTGGGTATGGGGTACATAGGCAGGCCTGTGAGGCAAAATCGGATCGAAATCTGGCTTTAGAAAGCACATTCCGGCACCTGGGCGAACAGAAAGAAGGCAAGGGCAAGAATAAAATCAGGAGAACCAGTTAGGAGGGCACAGCCGGGGCCAGCCTAGGAGTGGCGGAGGTGATAAGAAGCGGGTGGGCTCACTCGTCCGGCGGAGGAGTGTGGATAGAGATGGGTTTACCCAAGGGAAGCGGTGGCCAAAATGGGCTCGTCCCGGGAGAGTGCCGCCAGACGCAAGCAGAGCGCAGCGTGCGGGACCTCGGGGCTACCGGGCCTCACACCCAACCGCGCGGGGGTCCCGGAGCCACCGCCGACGCCCGAGCCACCTCGCGGGGAAGCCTGGCCGCCGCGACTCACCTGAGTAACCCGGGGGGCTCGGAATCCCCTGCTCGGAGTCCCGCTCCCCACGCTTCCTCCTGCGCGCCACCATCTTGCCAACCGGAACCTGCGGAGGCCGCTGGGAGTTGCAGTTCCGCGCCGGGAGCGTGCGCGTTTCCATGACCACGGCGGCGCGTGCGGCGCGCCTTCGGGCCCTGGTACCTTCAAGGCGCAGCCTTTGTTTGCTGGGGAATACAGTGAGCACACAAATGTGTGAGTAAATGTTGGTGTGGAGGGAACTCAACCTTCCATTCTTCCATTCCACAAATAGCAGTGAAGACCTCATTGAGGTTGACCGTTTTAACCAGCTTTTTTTTTTTTTAAGATTTTATTTATTTGACAGAGAGAGACACCCCGAGAGAGGGAACACGAGCAGGGGGAGCGGGAGAGGGAGAAGCAGGCTTCCCGCGGAGCAGGGAGCCCGATGCGGGGCTCGATCCTAGGACCTTGGGATCATGACCTGAGCCGAAGGCAGACGCTTAACCGAGTGAGCCACCCAGGCGCCCCTTAACCACTTTAAAGTGTACAGTTCAGGGGCATTAAGTATATTCTCATTATTGTGCAATCGCCCTCCGGAATGTTTCATCCTCCCAAACTGAAACTCTGTACCTGTTTCCCCCTTCCCCCAGCCCCTGGTAACCACCATTTTACTTTGTTTCTATGAATTTAACTACTCTAGATACCTCATATAAATGGAATCATACAATATGTGTCCTTTTGTGTCTGGCTTATTCCATTTAGCATGTTTTCATGGTTAATCCACGTAGTAGCAGGTCTCAGAATTTCCTTCCTTTTCAAGGCTGAATAATATTTCATTGTAGGTATAGATCACATTTTGCTTATCCATATATGCCTGTGGACATTTGGGTTGTTTCTACTTTTGGCTATTGTGAATAATGTTGCTATGAATATTCCGTGCAACTTTTGTGCAGACATGTTTTAATCTCTCTTGGATACATATCTAGGAGAATTTCTTGATCATTACAGTAACTGTGTTTCCCTTTTTGAGGACCTGCCAGACTGTTTTCCAAAGTGGCTGCATCATTTTAAAGTCCCACCAGCAAAGTATGAGGTTTTCAAATTCTCCACATCCTCACCATTATTTATGTCTATATTTTGGGTATAGCCATTCTAATGATTATATAGTGGTATCTCATTAGGTTTTGATTTGCATTTCCTTGATCATGAGTGATGTTGAGCATCTTTTCATGTGTTCATTGGCCATTTGTGTGGGCTTTTTGTTGAGAAATGTCTACTCGGAGTCTGCTCAATTTTTACTGGGATATTTGTACTTTTTTTTTTTTAAGATTTTATTTATTTGAGACAGAGAGAATGAGAGAGAGAGAGAGAGAGAGAGAGCACATGAGAGGGGGGAGGGTCAGAGGGAGAAAGCAGACTCCCTGCCGAGCAGGGAGCCTGATGCAGGACTGGATCCAGGGACTCCAGGATCATGACCTGAGCCGAAGGCAGTTGCTTAACCAACTGAGCCACCCAGGCGCCCTGGGTTATTTGTACTTTTATTGTTGCGTTGTAAGAGTTCTTCATCTTTCCTGGGTGCAATTCCCTCGTCAAATACGTGACTTGCGAATATTCTCTCCTGTGGGTTGTCCTTTCACTTTCTTAAAGGTACAAAAGTTTTTAAATTTTTGATGAAGTTAAATTTATTTTTTGAGGGTATCCGGTTGTCTGCACCATTTGTTAAAGACTATTCTTTCCCCCGCTGAATTAATTGTCTTGGCACCTTTGCTGAAAATTAATGGACCAGATACATGAGGCTTTAATTTTGGACTCTCCATTCTATTCCATTGGTCTGTATGTCTATCCTTATGCTAGTACCACATTGTCTTGATTACTGTAGCATTTTACTTAAGTTTTGAAATCTGGAAGTGAGTTCAACTCTCTTCTTTTTCAAAATGTTTTTGGCTAGGGGCGCCTGGGTGGCTCAGTTGTTAAGCGTCTGCCTTCGGCTCAGGTCATGGTCCCAGGGTCCTGGGATCAAGCCCCGCATCGGGCTCCCTGCTCGGCGGGAAGCCTGCTTCTCCCTCTCCCACTCCCCCTGCTTGTGTTCCTTCTCTTGCTCTCTCTCTGTCAAATAAATAAATAAATAAATAAAATCTTAAAAAAAAAAAAAAAAAGATGTTTTTGGCTACTCAGGATCCCTTTAAATTCTTTCAACAATGTTTTGTAGTTTTCAGGATGTAAGTTTTATACTTATTTTAAGTACACCTATTTAAGTATTAAGTTTATCCTATTTTATTGTTTGATTCTATGCTGAGTGGCATTGTTTTCTAATATGATTTTTAGGTTACTCATTGTAAGTATATTGATTGACCTTGCATTCTGCAACCTTGCTGTTTATTAATTCTAGTAGTCTTTCAGTGGATTCCTTAACATTTTCTGTATAAAGACCATGTCATCTACAAATAGAGATAATTTTACTTTTTTCTTTCCAATCTGCATGCTTTTCTCTGCAACTCCCTGACTTCTCCCCTACCCCAATCCCCCTGGCTAGAGCTTCCAACTCAATATTAAACAGAAGTGGTAAAGCCAGACATCCTTGTCTTGTCTCCAATCTTAGAGGGAAAGCTTTCAATATTTAACCCAGGGATTACTGATTTCACTGTGACCAGAGAACACACTGTATGAACTTAATTCTTCTACACTTGTTGAGATTTGTTTTATGGGCCAGGACATGGTCTATCTTGGTATATGTCCCATGGTATTTGAAAAGAATGTCTTCTATTGTTGGGTGGAATATTCTTTGTTGATTGGATCCTGTTGGTTGGTGGTGTTAAGTTCTTCTACATCCCTGTCTAGTTCTACCTATTGTTGCAAGGGGTGTTGAAGTCTTTAAGTGTAAGTGTGGATTTGCTATTCCAATTCTATCAGGGTTTTGCATTACATGACTTGCAGCTCTGTTACTGGGTAAATACGTATTTAGGATTATACTTCTTGGTAGATCAACTTTTTTTCATTATATAATGTTCCTCTATCTCTGGTAACTTTCTTTGCTCTGAAGTCTAATAGATCTGTTACTAACACAGCTTTTTGGGGACTGTTGGCATGATATATATTTTTCAATCCTTTTGCTTTCAACCTGATATTGTCATATTCGACGTGTCTCTTGCAGATAGCATATAAATTAGGGCATGTTCTTTCACTCACTTTGGCAATCTCTTTCAATGGAGATATATACCATTTACATTTGATATAGTGATCTTAGTGACATAATCTCACATTTTATTAATTTTGTCTTTTTTTCTTGCCTTCCCATGGTTAACCTGAACATTTTTTTTAGAAATTCATTTTTATCTATCTGTAGTGTTTCTGGTTGTATTATCTTTTTTAGTGATTGCCCTAAGGATCTCATCATATATACGTAAGTTACTACCACATATTATTGTTGACATTTTACCAGTTTGGTCGAAATGTAGAAAACGTCCCTCTATTTCCCTTTGCCCTCCCCTATTTATAAAGTAATTGCTTTAAATATTTCCTCTATGTACATTGAGAACCACATCAATGTTATAATTTTGGTTTCAACCATTAACAATTTAGAAAACTCAAGAGAAGGAAATTATTTTATTTACCTATAGTTTTACTATTTCTGCTGTTCTCCCTTCCTCTCTGATACACGAAGTTTCCTTCTTTTATAAGTTTAGAGAGCTTTTGTAGCCATTATTTTAGTGTAGGTCTGCAGGCAACAAATTCCTAGTTTTCCTTTATCTTAGAATGTCTGAAATACCCCTGAGCCCTGAAAGATATTTTTTGCTGGTTGTAGAATTCTCAGTTGACTCAACTTTCTTTGTTAAAAGTGTGCCACTTTCTTCTGGCCTCATGGTTTCTGTTGAGGGACCTGTCACATTGTTTTTCCCTTATAGGTGTCATTTTTCTTTTGCTTTTAAAATTTTTGTCTAGTTTTCAGAAGTTTGGCTGTGAAGTGTCTTGGTGTTAATTTCTTTGGATTTGTTTGGGATTCTTAGAGCTTCTTGAATCTACAGGTTTAGATCTTTCACCATTTCTGGTGAGTATATGGCTATTACTTCAACTACTTCAGCCCCAATTTTTCTTCCCTCCTTCTGGTACTCGATTTTTTTTTTTTTAAGATTTTATTTATTTGACAGAGAGAGACACAGCAAGAGAGGGAACACAAGCAGGGGGAGAGGGAGAGGGAGAAGCAGGCTTCCTGCCGAGCAGGGAGCCCGATGTAGGGCTCGGTCCCAGGGCCCCGGGATCATGACCTGAGCCGAAGGCAGACGCTTAACGACTGAGCCACTCAGGCGCCCCGTTGATTTTTTAGATTTTTTGTCGTAGGTCTGTGAAGTCTTTTTTTTTTAAGTATTTCCTTTCTGTTCAGATTTGTTAATTTCTATTGTTTTACCTTCAAAGATTCTTTCTCTACTGCTTTTTTGGTAATTGTATTTTTCAGCTCTAAATGATCCTTTATATTTTATTTGCTGAGACTTTGTATTTTTTTTTCACTTGTTTCAAGTGTGTTCATTGTTGACACTTTTATGATGACTGCTTTTAAATCCTTGCCAGACAATTCTAACATCTCTCATCTCAGTGTTGTCTCCCCACCCCCTTTTCTATTTTCCTGGCCTTTTCAGTCTATTTTTGACTGAAACATGGACATTTTGGGTTGTTATAAAGTCTGCATCTTGGGGCGCCTGGGTGGCTCAGTCGTTAGGCGTCTGCCTTCAGCTCAGGTCATGATCCCAGGGCCCTGGGATCGTGCCCCGCGCCGGGCTCCCTGCTCTGCAGGAAACCTGCCTCTCCCTCTACCCCTCCCTCTGCTTGTGTTCCCTCTGTCAGGTGAATAAATAAAATCTTTAAAAAAAAAGACTGCATCTTATTTAGATTTTCTGTTACAGCACATCTCCTCTGATGGGGCTGGAAAGGCACCACTTAATTACTGCCAGGTGTGGAGTTCAGGGTCCTTGCTTGATGTCTGCTGACACCCAGGGTGGGAGTGCCTCCTAGTTACTGCCTTGTGGGGGTGAGTTCCATCATCCCATTACACTTCTACTTAGAACACCCTGGTTGGAAGGGGCTAA